AACATTCTTTTTATTTTGTATGGGTAAAAAATAAAGTTCATATTTCAATTTAAGAAAAAGAAGCCACGCTTGTTTGGGGTTTGTTGTGTTTTCCATATCGGAGATGAAAAGCCTTCCACATCAAGCAAATCTGTGACGGCATTCATCTTTAGACAGTTCTTTATTCACTGGAAGGGCAAAACATGACTCCCGCGGCATCTTAAAGCTAAATATTTCAAAGTGCTAATTTTTCCATTTCATAGGCATGGAAAGGCAGTTGCACTTTTTGAGTTCTTTATTTTGAAAGTTTCCCATGGATTCATATCATGTTTATTTACTGGCAGTGCCTGAACCTGAAAGACCAGCGCTGCGTTTTATCCTCCACACAGCAGCCTCCTCTGGTATTTAAATCAGATAAGTACAAGACGGTACAGGTTTGTGGAACGTTGTTCACAGAGAGGCGATTGTCACTGTCATGGACACACTTTAAAATGTCCGGCACACTTAGCCCACAGTGTGTCCCGCCCCTTTCCTCTTCCTGCTGCCTTCTTTATTTTTTCAAACAGTCCATTCTGTCGTGTAAATGCACCCCCCCCCTCTCTAGCTCAAGCAACCCGGGGCCGCAAAAACAACTGCATCCTTCCTGCTCAAGCGTTGACTCAGCGGACTGCGAGGTGTGTGTGTGTGTGTGTGTGTGTGTGTGTGTGTGTGTGTGTGTGTGTGTGTGTGTGTGTGTGTGTGTGTGTGTGTGTGTGTGTGTGTGTGTGTGTGTGTGTGTGTGTGTGTGTGTGTGTGTGTGTGTGTGTGTGTGTGTGTGTGTGTGTGTGTGTGTGTGTGTGTGTGTGTGTGTGTGGGTGTGTGTGTGTGTGTGTGTGTGTGTGTGTGTGTGTGTGTGTGTGTGTGTGTGTGTGTGTGTGTGTGTGTGTGTGTGTGTGTGTGTGTGTGTGTGTGTGTGTGTGTGTGTGTGTGTGTGGTTGACTTTAGGAGGTTGGTGTCCAAACAAACGGCAGCCATGGGGCAAGGAAGGAGGGAGGGTAAGTGGGGGGGGGGGCATCAAAGGGGCGAACAGAAGGAAGTACACTGTTTCCACACGGCTGCCGTGGGGGCCAATGGCCCTCTGATTCCCAGCCACTCCTAGCTTTGGAAACCTGGGAAAATGTGGCAAAATGTTGGTTCTCTGACCTTTTCCAAGAATAAAAGTCTTCAGTTGTGTGTCTACAAAACATAAAATGCATTCCGTGGCTAAGCCAAACTGTGGTCTTAATCAGAATGCACTCTGGGAACTAACTCATTAATACAATTTGTGCTATAGGCTATTTTTATATAAAGCAGTATTTCCCTGCTTCAATGTGTTTGGTGGGATATTCTGACATACAGGGGTGGAAGAAGTACTCAGATTAGTTACTTAAGCAAAAGTAGATAGTTACAAGTTAAGGTCCTGCATTCCAAATATTAATTAGGTAAACATACAAATGTATAGGTGTCAAAAGTACCACGAGTAAAAGGTACCCCTTATGCATAATGGCCCATTTCAGAATCGTATATATATTCAGTTACTGGGTTACTATTATGTTTATTTATGTGTTTAGATTTTGTATATGCTAATAATCTAAACCTAAGCTAATAAATCTGTCAAATAAATGTAAAAAGTACAATATTGTCTTTTAAAATGTAGTATGGAGTAGAAGTACAAAGTAGCATAAACTGAGAATACTCGCATAAGTACCTCAAAATTGTACTTAAGTACAGTACTTGAGTAAATTAACTTTTTGACTCTCCATCATTGGACATACATTATCATACATTCCAAAAACACAGGTAGTAAGCCATGGCATACATTATTTTTACGGCACATTTCCTATTGTACACATGGGAAAACTCCAAGCACATTCAAATCAAAAAAGGAACACACAGGAAAGAGCATGAATAAACGACAGAGCGTCTCTTGCTATGGAATCACACTGACCACATGCCTGGGAGTGTTGGTGCAGGAACACCTAGTCCCCAACAACGGTACCACTCCCTCCTGTTGGAGAATGCTTGTTAAATACCTCAGTAGCTAACTGATTTTTTTTGTTTGACTTAGCCTTAAAAATAAATAATGTTTTTAAGATTTGCATCTGCAGTAGAAATCCTGAGATAGCTGTGGAAATACATATAAACACTAGCATAGCCTGTTGACCTAGCATGTTTCTGTTTACTTCAGGTGCAATGTGCAATACCTGGTCACATGCTCTTAATAAATAGGGGCAACATTTCTCCTACTGGATCCATAAGATCTAAAAGTACATATATCACTTAAAACATAAAAAAGCCAACATCTAACTAACAACATAGGGCAAGAATTGGATTTTGGATTTAATCCATGATGAGCTTTACTTCCTTCCTCTCTGCAACACAATACATACTGCTACTTTTTCCCATTCTGTTGATAGTGTTCATTTGTTAGTGTTTAAACAAAAATCTATCTTACAAAGATATCTTACATGTTGCTATACTTCAAGAATGTCTAGGCTGTAATAAAGCCCATTTCCACCCAAAAAGAGAGAAATGAACATTAACATTATGCATGTTGTAAATAACTAAATAACATAGCATCTTATAATGGAGTTGTGTTTCTTTATTCCTTGTGGAAATGGGCTTCCATAGGCTGTATTATTGGATATAATGAGTCATAACAGAGGAGGACAAATGTGTAGCCTTTAAGTGACATTTCAAAATTGCATCCCAGGTCAGCAAAAGTTTGTACATTTTTCATTAAGTGTCATTAAGATATTCTGCAGAAGTAGTCTGCTGAACTCTTTAGTATTTCAAAAATAGAAAGGTTATAATAAAAGTGAGACTGTTCTCCCAGGATTTAAAACTTTGAAATGAGCTTCATTTGACTTTATCCGAAGGGGATCTGTACAGCAGTAAATCCGACTCCACTTCAGTGAAATTTCAATAACAGCTCTTCCACCTCAGTCGGATAAGTAGGCCATCAAACTGCATGAAGAACATTAAACCAGCCGCACGCCGAAGGATTTTAAATGTGTTTCTTGAGGAAAGACTTGGAACTCCTTTTTTGTTCAAAGTAACACCAGACAAAAGAAAATGTCTCCTCATAGAAACATAACAGCAGCACTTTTCTTTGGCTATGCGGACAATTTATAATGACTAACTGTCCTTGAGTTCTTGGACTAAATATAATTTAAGCATAATAGCTCAACTGATTCAAGAGGGTGTTAATACCAATACAGGAAATGGCATGTACTTTAAATAACCATACATTGAAAAAGAGGTTATATACATAAAAATGACTTCCGAATTGTACATTGACCTGCTAAAGACAGGTATAAAGTGGATATAATGTCTTAATGTATTCTATCTTTCAGAATTGGTTGTATTTTAGTACATTTTGGGTACATTATTTGCAGAAAAATGTTAATTATTTGCTGACAACTATATTTATATTATACTTAATTAATGACTGTGTGTTTTTTTTTCTTTTGGCACATTTTTATTTGAGAATCTTAATCTTTAGGTTCTTAAAACTCTGTAATCACCAGTGTTAAGTACGGCATAATAACCGAATAGGACGTGAAGTTTGAATTTCAAAATAAAAGGCTAAACTGTCACATGTTGTCAAGAAAACATTCATAGTGAAGTAAATTAAATGTGGTTTTACCTCACAAATAGGAATTACATTATAAAATGAGAACCACATAATGAAATCATTGTACTGCTCATCTGTGCACTATGATAGGTGTTCTAATGACCAGAATCGAGGCTCATTTTATTATTTTTATTTGAGTGTGGAAGGCATCAATAAAAAATGACCAACAAATCTACACAGAGAATGCATTGTAAATCATTGATTCTTACGGCTTGAACGTCAGTGACGGCAGGCTGAGATCCTCACCGCTGATTGGCTTCCGCGAGAACGCGTCACGTGAATTTGACGCTCGAGTTGAAAAAATTGAACTCTCGCGTTTGACTGTTCAATCGCCTCAATCGCGTGATTCGCGCCGCGTCCACCGCTTCATGCTCGCCGTCGGAGCGAATTCGCGTCTGTCCGCGTCTCTGCATTGACTTTACATGTAATCGCGCCGCCCCCAAATATCGCATCGTGTCCGGTGTGAACGCAGCATTAGGCTGATTATTATGTAGTTATTGTTTTCATTTATATATTGTCCTTCGGCCACATAATAATATCTAGATACATATACTTATGATGTTGTATCTATCTCATCTGAGTTTGACATTGTTGCCCATAATTATTTAGGCTGATTGAGATACAGGAATTTCATCATATTTCAGTAGCCGATTTCCTTTTTACCAAACGTTCTATTGAGTTTTTGCATTGAACTACCATTTTCTTTTTGTGCTGACTTTGCTGGTATTTTGTTCCTCTTTAGGAAAACTCCTGCACACAGCTTTTAAAAATTCCCCCCAACCGTTAGCAGTGATGAAATTAATGAAATTAAGTACATCTACTCAAGTAGTGCACTTAAGTACAATTTTTAGAGACTTGTACTTTCATTGACTATTTCAACGTTTTGCTACTTTATACATATAAGCCAATATTGTACTTTTCACTCCACTACATTTATCTAACAGCTTTAGTTCCTATAGTTTATGATTAGAAAATATAAATCAACTACATCAACATTGGCATATAGTAATAGATGAAGATATCCAGCAACAGTATCAATCATAATCCATTAATTTAAACATAAGACACACAACAAGTAGGCTACTTTTACTCTTGGTACTTGAGTGTTTTTTTATATTATTTTTTATTTAATTAAGATTTTGACTTGGACTTTTACTTGTAACAGAGTATTTTTCTTTAGCAATACTTCTTCCACCACTGGCCATTAGTCTCAACCAGTCTCAACCAGCACCATAGGTCTCAACTGTGCATGTCTAAGCGACTTCTATTTTGACACTAAGCGGAAGTGAAGTCATGTAGGCCTATTGCGTGTAGCTTGACCGTGGCCTGTCATCTGACTCCTTTCCTGTTGGGAGAGAAAAGTTTTGAAACCCCACCCTCTGTGACTTTAAGCACAGACGTAGAAGTGGTTCGAGGTCCTGACGAGGGAACACTGACCGAGGAAGAGGAATATGATAATACATTATGATGGAGTTATTGCCCTGAACGCTCTCTTTGGACTGTACCAACAAGACCCGCGAACTGGACCAGGCCACGCGCTCAACTTCACTTAGGAACTAACGGGATTTGTTTTTACTGCGTGTTTCTCTGGGAAATAAAGGTTTGGATAGCCCTTCCTGTTACAAAGTCGGCGGTTCTATACAAAGTTTCTTTAATATTTTGATAAAGTCCAGTTCATGCTTCAGATGACACCGTAAACTTATGGATAGTCAAGCTGAACGGAATGCAGGATTTCCTGCACCACACAGTTGCGGTCACACGCGGTTATTAGAGATTTAGGTTTACTAATGCGTACTGGTGGGATCTGAAACTCGTCGTAAAACACTGGTTGGCTGGACTGAATGCTCCTTTCCTGCTATTCTTCTCCGCCTCGCAGCGCTTCCTGCTTGTGGTGCACTTAATGGCTAAAAATACACAACAACTCAAAATGGACAGCTACATCTAGCGAGAACCATAATAATTTGGTATTTTACAACAAACTTTGGATAGCTTTATTTTTGTCCCTACACTCCACTTAAAATCAGTTCTCAACAGGTGGCAATTTTGAATGAGGGAAGAGAAGAGCTCATTTACCCATAATGAGGTGATTCAAGAGCCTCTTAAATACAGGCCCACTGAAATGTGCTCAAACCATGTTGGGAAACCACACATCACTTGAACACAGAGAATCAGTTCAGACAGTACTGCCTTTCTGAGCTTTAAGACACTTCAAACAAAAGCAACCTCTCAACTGATTCTGTATGTGGAATGGAGAGCTTAACATGTAATGTCAAGACGAATGAAAGACACTTACTATTCAGTTATCTGTGAATCCTCTCCTGCAGCCCACTTGTTGGTCGCGCTTTTGAACACATTTCACTGGTCCCTGATGAACCAACAAAAAATACAGGAAAGGGAGCGAGGCGCAATAAAGTACTCCTTTGTACTTTATTTTCAAACCCTTGGGGTGCAAAATCAGATCCAGTCAAAACATCTGCTTGAGGCTCCATGGAGCCACTGAAGAACATATTGAGTCGTGGTCCACTGTCCAACTGTAAAAATTTGGATCAAGCACAAAAAGGGAATTTCACCAACCCTGTGTGGACGGCCTTATTCGACTATGAGGCGTCCTGTAAAGATGAGCTCACCTTGCGTAAAGGTGACCTGGTGGAAGTCCTGTCTCTGGACTCTGAGATATCGGGCGATGATGGCTGGTGGGCGGGTAAGGTCAACAACAAGGTGGGCATCTTCCCATCTAACTATGGCTCTTTCAAGCCAACTGAATTTGCAAAGCTCCCGTGCACTGCCGTGGTTGGAGAGCTTACCCCGGCTGTGGTTAGCCAGTTCGAACCCGACGTGCTGGATTTCCGGGATCTGAAACTGGAGGAGGTCATCGGGGTCGGGGGCTTTGGAAAGGTGTATCGTGGTACATGGAGAGGCCTGCTGGTTGCTGTGAAGGCCGCACGGCAAGACCCGGATGAGGATATCAGCGTGACAGCTCAGAACGTCAGGCAGGAGGCCCGTTTGTTTGCCATGCTCACCCACCCCAACATCATCGCCCTGAAAGGCGTCTGCCTGCAGGAACCCAACCTGTGCATCATCATGGAGTACGCCTCTGGGGGGGCTTTGAGCCGGGCTCTGGCAGGGCGTCGTATCCCGCCCCACATCTTGGTCAACTGGGCCGTGCAGATAGCCAGAGGGATGGTGTACCTGCACAGCGAGGCTATCGTCCCCGTCATCCATCGAGATCTCAAGTCCAACAACAGTAAGTCCTTCAATATGTCTTTTATCATTTAAACCCAGTCTCACAGTGTTGGATTGATGAAAATAAAGAACAAGACATATTTATTGGACCTTGTGCACAGCCACATGGCCCAAGGCAGTGATGGAACATGGTGTACTTCATACAAGTCAGTTAACTGTTTTTTTTGTGTGTTTACAAGGCTACATCTAGAACAAAGGCAACCTGTTTAACTCCACTGTAAGGCTCCAGTAGAATTATTAACTCAAACATCTCATTAGTCTCAGTAATTGAATAACCTCTTAACTTTTGATCATGTACCATGATATTAAGTCCAGTCTTGGGGTAATAAATACCCATTTTAGAGGAACATCATGACTAAGCAGTGGTATAACGACGCATGTTTTTGCAGTCATGTGACTCTCAAATGTAGGCCAAGGCTGCAGAGATGCAAATATGTGTTGTTGATAGCACAAAAGGCCATGCTTTGCTAGGTCAGGAATTCAAGAGGAGGGTTTTTTCCTCTCAGCACCGCCACAACTCACACTTTGGACTTTGATCCCGTGCAGGGGCTTCTTGGAAAGGTGTTGCGTCAGTGTTTCCGCATCGAGCCTTGTCATTAACCCTGCAGAGAGACGTACCGCTGATAAAGCTTTCTGTCCCCTCTCGTGAAGCAGAACAAGTGCTTTTCTCTGCTCCAACGCTAACCCAAACACTGAGCCACCTGAATTTAATTGCAGCCTCCCTCTGTTATTATCATTCTTGGGATGAAGCATATAATTCCAGGCAGCTCTGTGGCTCTATCCGCTGCGGTCCAAAAGATTAGTAACTTTTCTGTAGCTCCTTTCTGTTACTGCAGATCTTGATCGCATATCAAAATACAAAGGTGTATACAAATGGTGGCTCCGACCTTGTTTAACTAGGAAAACATTCAGTACTGTAGTTTTTGAGAATGTGACCTTGGTTAGGCGCAATAGAAGGGTAACTCCCTTTATTCACACTTTGTTTGAAGCAAGGGTTCTCTATTCAGCCAGCTTTCTTTTCCCATACTCATTTCACCATATCCATCTTTTTGGCTTCTGCGCAATAACCGTTTCTGACCATCGGCCATTCCTCTTCCCATTCCTTTAGGCATCTCCACCCTTGTGTGAGGTTTTTTCCCGGTAAGGCCTCTCCAGTGTAAAAGCGTCTCCTGTAGTGCTAAAGCAAGTTGAGTTAAGTCAATAGTGTTGTATATGAGGCAGGCCAACGCAAACACAGACCCGCTCTCTGTGCGCCGGGAGATCCTATCGCCCTCCCGCCTCTTGCTGTTTTAATTCTTCTCTGAATCTTTGTCCCTGGCCTGCCGCTACATGTTCCATACAGCCATATTCCTGTTGTGCCACTGAGAAATATCCTGTTGTGGTGGTGGTGGTTGGGGGGGTAGGGGTCATTGGGTATAGTTGCGGTTGGGTTTGCTGACAGGTTTAACACACAGGTGCAGGAGTACCGCAACAAAAGGGCAATTCAAAGGAATGATGCACACTCAAATAACATCTACAAATCAGACAGTGGCGCTGACGGTAGAAAACGGGATGAGGCATTCACTTTAAGTCTTAATTTGTGGTGTCAGCTTCTCTGAATAATGGAGCAAGTTCTTCTCACAAGAGCTGGCATTTTGCGTCAGAGCTCTGCAGTCATACAGGGAGAAATCTGCCTAAGGCCTTTTTTTCTAAATCTAATCAAATGTGATCATTAGTGGAACATATTGATAGTATAAAAGGTGTATTGAGAGGAATGGAATTCCCCCAAATAAATAAAAATGATAATAAATGATCACTCTTATCATATCAGCATAACCAAAGCATTAGATAAAGTAGTGTCCACGCATATTACCATATTAAAAGAAGATGCATTATTGACCAGCTGTTACTGTAATGGATTAACTGAAGGCTTGTAAACAAGAGCTACAAGTTGTAGGTAATGACCAGCGAAGCGCTTCGGCCTGTTTGGAAGATGCTGATGAAACGGGATCATTGAAGGAAGCCCAGGGTGGGGCGCTTGGGTCGAAGCCAAAGGGCATAACGGGAATTCCTCTGAAAGTAAATACAGAGAGTAGAGGAGCCCCTTTCTCTCAATATTGTGTCCACATTTCTGAGAATGAGTCTACGGACATTTCTGTTTTAGTATCTGGTGGTTCTCTATTTGAGGTTCCATGGCTTTACTACTCTGAACTTGAGCCATACAGGAAACGCTCAATCATTGTAGAGTCCAAGTGAAAAGAAATTGCACGTAGTTAAACTGCTACTGTTTTCATCAAATAATAAAATGTTCACCCTCGTTGGCTAAAAATGAATGTGGAACAACATGTAAAGACTTTTGCTGTCAGTTTGCTAGTCTAACCTGCTACATGCTAGTTCCCTTCAGCAGTGGTTGATTGTTAAGTGGTGCTTTTTCACGTACATAGAATATCCACTGTGTGTGAACATGGATATTGATTTGTGGGAGTAGTATATTTTGTATATTTTGTCAGGGGAACTACATGTTAACACCATGTTGACATCACGTCCAAAAGTTAGGATTCGACAAACGTATCGGCGAATGGTTGATTACATCGTGCTTTTTCGTTTCCTTTTTCTACAGATGTTTCTGTATTGAAACATATACATTATGTTTCTGCTGCAGCTACAGTCCATGAGCTATCAGTAACAGCCCTCAAAGGCTCATTCAGTCCGGCTGCCGTCCCTACACTGTTATGTAGTTATCTGCACAAAGCCTTCATAGATGCAAAAGCAGCTATAGGCATCCGACACACTCCATAAAACCCTGCAGAGGCTGTAGTTAGAACGGTGGGGAAAGTGCCAAGCTAAGCACTTGCTGGGCTGGAACTCAAAGGCCTATTTTCAGGAAGAAGCCACAGTTAGATCGTGGATCAACATGTCCTTTTTTTTTTTTTTCATGAGTGGACAAACATCTGATACATCCCTCTACCAGCATGTTTTCATTCACGGCCCCCAGTGCTCACAGTGGAGCACACATAGGTAGCACACTAAAAACATCCTGTGTGTGTGTGTGAGCCCTGGTTGCTGGGTGTGTGGTGTTTGCCTGTGTGTGGTGAACTGCACTCCTGTTACCACTGCACACACACACCACCATCGCCCTGTTCAGCATGAGCAATCATGAGGGCAATTTAGACATTTGAGGTATTTTGTAAAGGGAATAGGGGGATTTTAAACCTGATTAAAATCTGAACATGCACCTGTATTTTGTTATGGCAGCCGTATTAGTGCAGTTAAGCCCTCTCATTTATTTTTTGCCAGTAAAACTGTCAAGTGCAAAAATATTTTTTGTAAGAAAAAAGCCTTTTGAAAATATATCAGTGCTGCGTCATCAGTTTCTGATTTACGAAACAACAACCTAACCGAGGATAACTTAAATGCTACATTCCCATTGTTTAGAATCCATAACTAATTCCTTGCAAACCATTTTTTCCATCATGCTGTAACACCAAGACATCCTAGTATCTGCATTGAACTGCATTTTTTTAATACGTTTTTTTTCAAACCCCTGTTAAGACTTTTGCGGTCAGTTTGTCAGCAGTCTTTTATTCTCTGCTACATGTGCTACAATGCTACTTCCCTTCAGCCTTGGTTGAGTGTTGGAAGTCGTGCTGTCTTTATTCTACGACTAGATATTCCCTACAGTACATAGATTACATATGCCCTCTGTCTGATCATGGAAATTGGCTCGTGGGAGAAGTCATGTTACTAAGTAACTTAAACGCAGGGTTATTTTGTACAATTTGGCTGATATCTAGACATCTATCAATCATTACGGAAGATGTCACACACATGTTGTTATATTGGTGATTCCCTCTGCCTCAACGCTTCATCACACTCCGCTCAGCTGAGCTACGCGTGATGTGCAGCATGCGTGAAGGAAGGGATGTTTTTACAGCATATGTTTATACAGAAAGCTGTACCGTGTTTTATTTTTTTAGTATTCTCAGTGCTAGACAAAATACTCTACTACTGTAGTAATACCACAGTGTAGAAATTAAGTACTTAAAATAGTACGCGTTCTGCACAAAAGCCAATTTCAGAGTGATAAACGTGTTATTATTCACTTAATTATAATTATTGAAGCATTTATGTGTGCATCCACTTTAATGTGCAGCTGGTAAAGAAGGAGCTATATTTGTTTACTTTACTTCCATGAAGCTAGTGAATTTTTTTTCTCTTTTTAATACTTTTTTATTTATCGACTTATTTCATTAAACAAATGCACTTAAGTATATAAACTAATATTTGTACACATAAGCAAATCACAACAGAAGAAAAAGACAAAAATTTAACGGAAATACAAAATTGAAGAAAAATAAATAAAGCTTGTGAATTTCACTTAGGGAGCAATAAAGTTGTATTTTCTTAACCTGTAATAATAATTGATCAATTATTTGTTGATTCCATTTTTGTATTAACAATCTTCTAAATAACTAAACTTCCGAAAAAATGTAACCAACAACATTGACCTCTGAATTGACGTCGAGTAGATCTATAAAGAAGCAGGAAATAGAAATACTATAAACTAGAAGTACCTTGAAGAACAGTTCTCAATGGTTAAAACATCTGGCCCAAGATGTGGAAGTGGCTGTACTTGTTTAAGTGGAATGAATTAAAAGAAATAAAAAGCCACTTTGAATGGAAAAAAAAACATGAAAGAGAAAACATTTCTCGATAAATAAAAGAAAACATGACACTAGTGCAGTGAACCACCAACAGGAAACACATGTACAAAATGAAGGAACTCATTGTTACTGATGCTGTGTAAACAACAGTTATAAGACATTTCAGTAAATGAATGCAAGTGAGTACATTAACATATACATCATGGACTCTAATATAAATGAAGAGCCTGCCTTCTATCTCTACTGAATCACTCTACGAGCACTTTTGATCCACGCCACAAAGTGTTTTTATTATCACTAACCTCTTGTCAAGGGTAGCAGAAAATGCATCGTCATGAAGTTATCCATCCATCTTCAG